TGAATGAGTTGTGAGACTGGAGGGTGTCTCTGAGAATGTCTTATATATTGTGGCTGCAGTGGCCGGTGTACACAGACTCCATGCTGGGGAGACATGAGGTGATGATTATTCTTGCAGTTATGACTGGAGTAGCAGACACAATAAGAGCAGAAACCCACCTTCCTGTGTCTCACATTTTTTTACTAAACAGTCAGATGAACTTTGGACAGTTCACAATCTAAAAGTCAAGCTCCGGTGTAATGCTACTATTTCAGTTTCTTCGATGCAGTCACTTGTTGTTTTCCTCAACAATCATACTTTGCACCCGTCAGCTGACTGTCTGAGGACTGCATTCAGCATTTGTTTGATTAAGCACATAAAAACATCAATTTAATCAATAATCACTGATCAGTAGCATTGTTTTCCATAACTTGGGTCCCCACTCTAAACTGAAAATAAAGAAGCCAAAGGAAAGGATGGAAAGGACTTAGCACTCCTCACACACACCCCTAACCTTTCTCCATGACCTTTAACCTTTACATTCTTCCTCATGTTATTCCCAAACCAATTAATATATTTCTTTATTTTTTTATTTTTGCCACCTGAACCTGTATCCAATCAGACAGTTGCCTTTTCTTCTAAGGTCACTCTGCACTGGCCAAAGTTTTTTTTTTATTCTTTGCCTGTGGTCACATTTTGTGCTTAATTGTAATCCTTAATGTGCTACAACTCTCCAAAAGCTCCCACCATCCAGAACCAAAAAAGCCAATATTGGTCTGAGATAAGATAAACTGAACTATAAGTCTAAGCCAAGTTTGGTATAAGCTACCTGTCCGCATATTTGCCAGTCTTTGGCTTTTCTTCGCATGTGAGCCATAAAAACTGAATGTGCCTTGGTATTGATGCTGCAAGTCTGTAGAACTCTACTGTGTTTGCCTTCTTTTGTTTGCTTGTTTTTATGCAAACAGCCAGATAGGCATTATATTTCAACCACTTCAAGTGACTGCCTGTGTGCATTTTACCAGCAAGGTCACCAGCAGTGTGAATGTACACACTGGGTGTAACACATTAGAATCAGGTCAGGATTATACAAGCTGCTGCACATATGCTCAGTTACTGAGTACAACAAGCCTCGGGCAGTCAGCTATTACTGTAAATATAGAAGTGAAATGAACTGTGTGTACCAGTGTTTTCACTTAACTGACCTGAAGAGGTAACATTAAAGCCTCTGCCCAATCAGGACAGAGCCAGCTCCCAGGCAGCAGGAGCCACCAGTCATAAAGCAGTGGGTGCATAAAAGTATTTTAGATAGTCAGGGATAAAGTCTGAAACAATTCCTTCACTAAACCTAACTAAGCTAAATTAAGGTCAGAGAGTCTCTAGCTTAGCTTTTGTCTCATGAGACAGAAAGTGTGATTCAGAGCTTTGCAAATACATCCCACTTGACTTTTAGCACAATCAGCTGTTGTTGCTTCATTTTCTAAAACCAATTTTTGCAATCTAAGATTGCTTAAAAATTAAAAGCATTGTAGCAAGAGCTTCACACACTTTGGCTTAGGGACAGATGTAATACAATAGAGGAAGCATGTCCTTGTGATGCCTCTGTTCAGTCTGGTATCCAGCTGGCTTTTCCAGTAAGCCCCGCCCTGCTCAAAGCAATTTCCTTGTTCTGCTGTAGAGTTGGTTCCTCCCTTTGCAAATTTCTCAGAGCAAGTCAAGCCAGGCCCCCCTTGTTCATGTGACCAGAAAGATCAACTCCTATTTTTGCATGACCTCCAAATGTCAGCAAAAGCCTGTGAGGACAATGGCTTGACACGTGAATGCACAAAGGAATGCTTTCACACATGCGCCGGCACCACTGCCCTTGTGTTGAATCCTTCTGTAACAGGCAGATCTCACACTGAGGCAGTCAGGGTCTCTTCTGTTTTGTTTGGTCAAAGAAAAAGACCTCAAAAGTACTGAGTCCTTTTGTATGTCTCAACTGAGATCATGTAAAAGTCAGTCCAAATAACATTTAAATGTCAAAATCTTTGTTTTGCTTCGCTCCTTTGACACAGCTGGATTACCACCTGGTTAACTTCTCTGGGGCCCCAGACCCCCAGAAGCCCTAAAATACCAATGTCCACTGCAGAACACTTGGATTCGATAATGACTAATTGCAAATCTGCTTGAAATTTGGACCAATAAAGTGCAATGTCAATTATGGCAGGGGTGGCATTATAGTACTGTAGTGCTGACTGGCAGAGAGGCCTTAGCTCTGGTCTGTGTTACAGGTGTAACAGGGCTGAGCATCTTTTTTACAAAAACCATGAGCCCTGTGCTTTGATTCTGTTTTTCTAAAATGATATAAAACATGTAATCTATTTAGTATTTCCTGAATATCTGATTGCTGTTTGCCAAAAAAAAGGATGTTTTGGCCATTAGTGAGACAGATAACCTGTCAGACTTAAGGAGGAGTCAAGGGTTTGGTTTGTCTGAAATTAACTAGCTCATACCAAATTTTGTCTGAACAAGTCTAAAGGCAAACATGTTTATTGCTGCTTGGAATGAAAAGCCTGCTGTCTATGAATCTGCTCTCTTTGTTACTCTAAAGGCCTCAGGCAGCAGTAACTCAGCAGCCTTGACATACTGGTGTTTTTGGAAAATCAGGTGAGTTCCCTCTCACTAACTGGTGTTTTGTTGAGTTGGACCCATGACACCAAGAAGGCTCAATAGCGTGTTCCAGCGTCCCAGAGCCACTCTCCTCTAACTGCACCCAGCACACTCCTCAGTATCTGTTCTAGCTTGATAATCTATCAAACCAGCCAGTCAGGCTGTTAGTAAACAATAGCTAGGCCACTTGTTGCTGGCCTAGCTACCAAACATTTTAAATAACCCAGCAAAACTTCTTCTGCTACCTTTTATAATCACCCAGCATCCACTAGCAGGTGGATACCCAAATCAAAACCGGCCGGACCCATTAGAACCTGAGGGTTCAGTTTGGGTTCAGCCATGTAGGTCAAACCCGCGGCTAAACAGGTGTAATTGCACTTTGAAATATTTCACTTGTAAATGAATCCGATGATAAGAGGCACCTTCACCTGTTCTGGTTTAGTTACGATGAAAACGTCAGACAAAATCTGAGTCCTGAGCTAAATCTCAGAATTCTGACTTTTTAAAAAGCCAGTTTGCAAGTCAGAAAATACTGTAAAGCTCTGATACAGTGACAGGGCTGATGTGCTCTGCATATGATCACCAACATACATTTATGGCCAGTGGCACCAAGGAATTCCATCATTTTTGACCTGGCTATTTGTTTATTATTAGCTTATTTTTTTGGTTGTGCTTTAGTAAAGAAAATGCAATAATAATGCTATTAATTTTATTTTAAGTAGCCTTAATAGCAAATAAGTATATTGTCAGGGCCCAACCATTAGAGGAACATGTAGCTGAAAACAATCTGAGTGCAGTAAAGATTTCCATGTCATCATGACTGCAACACCCTGCAAAATAGAGCTTGTTTTAGAAAATCATTCAGCCTTAGAAGCGAGCAAAAATCCTGTTGAAAACACATTAAATTTGGAGGTTCATGGGGGTCACTGATGTATAATATCTCACTCCGCCTGTCTGGACTTGACACACTTTTGTGTTGGACAGGGTAATGAAGGTTGAAACCTAACGGCCCCTGATGGAGCCCACAGCTGTTTCCATCAGCAGTCAGATCTGCTGCACACGGTTCACTAAAACACACCGCGTCTACTCTTCAAGCTGTGTGGAAGTCAGCAGCAAGAGCAATGTTAACAGGGGAACAGACAGGCTGTCGGGGCTGCACAGAGCCAATATGGAATATGAAATCACTGGACTACTCATATTTACAGCTTATCACTCTGTGGAAATGACTACTGTGATGAAACCAGAAAGAAGAATGCGCACAACGGAGCTCTGGGAAACCTCTTTATCTCTCACTGTGTTGATGTTTTATTCAGTGAAACAAGAGTGACATTATGAACTCACAAACAGGAAACGCGTAAATGGACTCCATTTCCCATGACCCCTTGCAACCTCATCCTGTCACTAGGCCACAAACACGTACAGAGATACATCCATGTTCCAACAGAGGACAGCACTATTGTTACAAAGTGTAAAAACAGCCAATTTCATGAGCAAACAAATGGATTCTAATGACGCCAATGGTGTGTGCAGGTGTGGGGGCCTCCAGAACCCCCAGGCCCATTAAATGATGCAGATCTCACTGTGCAGCAGCTAAATCTGCTCACCTTCCCTCTCTTCCACTTCACATGCGCATTAGCCGTTTCTAACTCTGTTTGAAACTAGCAGTGTTTTTACAATGCCCCTGTTTCTCTACTAAATTTCACCAAGGGCATCTGAACCACCAGCATCCTGAGGAAGTGGTGGCAGAATACAACACAAGCTGGGTGGTGCAGCAGGTATGTGTTAATCATAAACAGCGAACGCTGAAGTTTGTTCAGTTTGGTTTTGTCTTCCATAAGTCTAGTCTCTCCCTTAGTCTCTCCTTGGACGAGAAGACGTCATGTCTAGGAGAGTCCTCAAACTTAATCTGTAATATTTTTTCTGCCATTACTTTTTTTGTCATAAATTTGACAAACATATCCTTATAAGAATCAGGGTTTTGCAGATGCAGCCCAACAGTAGGTATACTGGGTTACATTAGCCTCAAGCAGCTACAGTAGTAAAATGCTGCTTACAGGTGAAGGTGTCGGTGCTAATCCTACTGCATACATGTACCCAAAATTAAAATCAGTATATTCAGTACTTTTAAATGTACTTGAAGTACATTTTTTGATAGTGATTCTCTACTTTGTGCACATAAAAATTACAAATTTGAATACACAGCTTTACTTCCAACACACTTGCTATTTTTGCTGAATACTCTTTGCATCCTTGGTCTACTCAACTTATTTGAAGTCATTTGTCCAATAAGCAGTAAATAGTGTAGTAAGGATGCCCTCTAGTGGTGGAAAACAACCTGTGAGGACCTAGAGATAAACCTACTTGGATCCAAAAAGTACAAATCAATCCCAGAACAGCAAAAGGACCGTATGAAGACACTGGTAGCAAAATATCTTTAGCCACAGTAAAACGAGTCCTATATCAATTTAACCTCTTGTTCTGATGGAAAGTTGAGAACATACCACCATGAACTCCAAGACAAGAAGCTTTGTCTTGAAACCAGAGTTCAAAATAAGTGTCCAACCATTGATCATGTAACAGATTACTGCCCCTCAGCAAAACACTGGCTGAACAAGACCAGCTATTAAGACAAAGCCAGGGACATTTACTGGAAGCACGGTCATCAGTAAGCCAGCAAATCCAAGTCAGACTAGTTTTTAAACCCAAGACTATTTCAGTTAGCTGTGGCAGTACTACGCAGGCCTTTCTCTCAGTGTCAATTATATTACACTACTGAGCTACAGGTGGCTCCAACACAGACCAATACACAGACCACTGTACCAACTAAGGTGGCCAGCCAGGTTTCAAATCAGCTCTGCAAGTGTCAGTATGAAAAACACTGATGACTTTAACATCAAGGACGCACCTGTGTTTTGATAACAGATTTTGTTTCCAAAACATTTCCACAAGGAACATTTAAAACAGACACCTTATTCTGTGTCATGTATTGTTGGTGGGAAGTACAAAACATTTTCTGTTCTATTAAATGATAGCTTCAACTCAACAGATTTGGAGGTCAGTGAGCAAATGGCCAACTGAAGGCTACTTAAATTAATCTATTAAAACTTGAGTATAGGGGTAATATGGTTTAAAAGAAAACTGACAGATGTTTTCCAGGGATTTCAAGCCCTTTATTAGAATGTCCACATCATCTAATAAAGAGGAACTGATAAAACCAGACACATTTCTACAGGGGAATACTTTGTCTAACCCTTGGTAAGCCAAGAGCAACAGGTCCATCTTCTCTCCTTTTAAATATACATGAGTAGTAGTAGTAGTAGCAGCTCTGTGGGAGCCGAGGACAAATATAGAAAACCGCTGTGCACCGTGGAAGTTGTGGGGTTCAGATGTGTCAGCTCTGAGCAGTTTACTCTGTGAGGCCAAGCTTCTTCTTCAGGGACTCTGGCATCTCAGGGGGAGGGGGGCGGGGCAGGCGGAAGTAGACCTTGACAGAGTCATAAATGAACCACTGCAGGGCGGTCAGAGTACCAATCATGATGATACGGGCAACCAGGCCCTTCCACACACCTGCACAGGAGACACACAGAACAGATTCAGACACTTGACTGCACAATAAACATGGCTCACTCTGCTGCACAGGGCTGCAAGCTCTTCTCCATTTCTGCATAATGCTACAAGCTCAGTAAGTGCTTTTAAAGTGTCCCGCATTTTATTCATTCATGTCAGTGTTAAGACACATGGCATAAAAGTAGCAGTGTCACAATAAGGAGCTGGACAACAAATGAGGTTTTGCTAATGATGTAAAAACAAAGAACCAATCCTTGACAGTTGCTTCAAAATGACCGTGTCAACATTAAAACTTTCAAAGTCAAAGATTCTAACTGATCCCGTTAGTTACAGCAACAACATACCACAGCTTCTCTCCTTCAGCGAGAGAAAATTCCAGCCAGATTCATGTCTGTCCCCCAGGCTTACAGCACTGGGAGCTCCCTGTCTGTAGCTGACAGGATTGCCAGTGATGCAGGTGGGCTGAGGGACAGGTAGACTGATCTCACACGCCAATGACTCAAGCACCTCTGACTGTACAGCCAGGAAGCTGCTGAGGAGGCCTGCTCAGAGCACAGCGCCCTCCAGAGGTGGATCTAAGGAGCGTGTTGATCAGAGCCTAATATTACACGTTACCCTTATTGTGGACTACTGCTGATACAGACCTTTGGGTCCAAGCTTCTTGAGGACCTGCAAAGCAGTGCTGCCCTTTTCCTTGTTCAGCACGGATACCACAGAGTCAGCAGGGTGGGATACGATGGCACAGAACACACCAGCTGCACACAGACAGAGAAGTGCAGATCAGCTGGAAGGGCTTCACCAAAACATTAGATACCAGTTCAAAAGGAATGAGGCATCATTATTGCAATTAGAAAACAAACATTACTGCCAATACACAGATACATTAGTAATGCATATATTTACTAGTATTGCAAAATTTTTTCAAAAACTGATTTCATAACATTACAACTTTACCAAATTTGGGGGGTTTTCCAGGCTTTAATTAGCACCAGGTTTTATATATTTTACACCCCGTTATCTCCTCTCTACAAATAGCTTCACTCCATTCTTAAAAGCGTTTAAAGAAACCATGGCATGCTTTCCTTGTTTAACTTCTCTACAATGTTACAATGGTGAATCATCATCTTAGACGTGACCTAAAGCTCATAAAATGAGGTGTACGCATGTTCTCGTATTTCTATGCAGAGGCAACTTGGGTTTATACATGTCTTGCAAACTCTAAAGTATGAGATTTTTTTTTTCCCTAACAAAATTAAGTATTGCATGATAGTTTAAGGAACTCTTTCAAGGGGAATTAAATCCAGACCGTTGCGTATTTATGTGAGCTTGCCTGTAATCCATCAGTGCCCCCACCATAACGGCAAATGTTATATTTCCTTGTCCGTTATGTATATTTTCAATAAAGCTTGTTTAAAATAAATACACACCTTTGCCACTGTAATAGCATAATTTTTCGGCTGTGCCTGGTTTTGTGGATATATTTTATTTCCTGCTGCACTGTGACGAGGGGATGTGGAGAAAAATACAGGGCCTGAGATTACTGCACGTCTGGGAATGACCCTGTACTGGGACCAGCGTTTTTACTTGGCTGGGTCTAACCTACAAGCAGCCGGCCTGTGAAGCCCCCCCACGGTGGTGAACGATCAGCATGACATTAGAAAGACTTTGTAAGGCTGGTGAAGTTACTATGTCTGCATTATGCCAGTTAAAATACGGGGTTTCTCAGTTACCCACTTTTTTTTAGTGTGTCAAATCTCTTTTCATTGGTACATATACCATTGTTTACCCAGCTATGAGGAGAAATTCAAGTTAATGCTATTGCAGTTTGTTGTGCTGTCCACTTGTGACAACGGGAATTGTGCCATGTTTAGAAATTATCCTATTGTTTTTAGGAGGAGGTTCTCCATTATCATTCTGAAATAATTAGACTATTTGGAGTTATGATGGGTGCCAAACTAATCAGGAGGTACCCAAGACTAAACATTAAATGGCTAGAAATGAGCATGCCATGGGCACATAAACCTAAATTCCAAAGACACTCCAGTACTCACCGATGTAACCTGCCACGAAGGTGACAACCAGTTGTTCACCTTTGCTGCACTCACTGCGGGGCTTGGGAACAACATACTTGTAGAGCATTTCCAGCGTACGCTCGAAGCAAGCAAACTTCATCATAGTGTAGGGGATCTGTCTCATCCACAAGGGCACCACACCCTTATAGAACCTGGAGTTGCAGAAGAAAAAAAAGAAACCAAAGATGTAACCTCAAAGAGGCATCAAGTGTTGTAGATCATCTAATCATCAGTTAAACTAGGTAAAATATGCATTTGTAAAAATGAGAAAACCATAGAGGTCCACTAGGAGACTGTTTATTTTACCTGTAGACACCTTAGTGGACTAATGCATTTTAAGCTTGAGGTTCTGTTTAAACAGCAAAAATAGAGGAAATGCTTAAAATTACTATGATATGTATTTCTGATTTATCTCCATCATCCTGTGGTCCTCTAAGCTGGCCCAATACTACAGAATAACTGGCCCAGGTTCTCCCTTCCCAATAATAGTGGGGGAGTTCCACCTCTAGGCCGCTCGGAAGGGATTATCGGACCAAATGATCCTATAGTGTGAGGTACATACATACATACATACATACATACACGCATGCATGTGAGGGCCTCCAATCTTGAATCGCAAGGTCGTAAATATCAAGCATGCTTGATATTTACGACCTGGAATCCTGTAGTGTGGGGGCAACAGCAATTGAATCCTGATCAGATAACAGCCAATGACATTAAGCTGGCAGGGAAGCCCAAAGCTTTAAGAAAACCAAAGCGGATGAAACAAGGCATTGGCAGAAACAGTGGAGAAGCAGGGATCCTGACACTTGATGTCTGTGTGCAGCAGGCATCTAGTTTTGCTTGCAGGTGCCTTAGCCAACTACAGTGGCTTGCCAACTTACTTCCAGAATAGATGAAGAGGGAAGTTGATGACTAAAATGACTGAGATAAGTTGGCTGTTAGAATGTTAGCAAGCCACTCCTGCTCTTCCTGCTGTCTCACATTTATCCTCTTAAAAAAGTTATGTTTTGTTCAGCACCTTTTAAAAACTGTACCTCTAGGTACTTTGCCTTGTTGGTAGTGCATCCTAACACACAGCAGCTTTTAGACATTTTTCAGGTTTTTGTAAAGACACCAAAGTGTCAAAGAGGCACCTTCACTGAATGGAGTGAGAGGATTCGTTCCTCCCTGGTGCGGGTGTGGCCTAAATGCGCTATGTGTGTATATTCAGGGTTTCACAACATCAAATGGTGTCACCAAATATGATTAGACTGTAATCAGGATCAATTGTTTATCCAGCCCAAGTGAAAAAGTAACATTTTTCAGAGCTTTGTCTCTGTACAGTAACAGTGTGAAGAATATCCGTCCCTCAGGCTTACAGCACTGGGAGCTCCCTGTCTGTAGCTGACAGGATTGCCAGTGATGCAGGTGGGCTGAGGGACAGGTAGACTGATCTCACACGCCAATGACTCAAGCACCTCTGACTGTACAGCCAGGAAGCTGCTGAGGAGCCCTGCTCAGAGCACAGCACCCTCCAGAGGTGGATCTAAGGAGCATGCTGTCATCACAATGTTATTTTTATCAATTCTCACAATCACTAAGGCAGCCACATTAAATAACTTTCTGACTGGACTGTCACTTACGCCCACAGCCCCTCCTCTGCATACATCTTAGGGGCACACTGTCTGAGGGTGTTGGCATAGCCTGGCTGGGTCTGGATGCGAACTTTGACAGCCTCCATGGGAGACAGGGCAATGTCAGCAAAGAACTCTGCGCTGGCCGAGGCAGCCAGGTACAGTGATGTCCTCCACAGGTAGGCATTCTCCTGTTGGGTGAGACCACACAACAAACAACAAGATGGATTAGGTGATGGAGATGTATGCCAGCTCCGGTTCCCATACGTCATTCAACAACAGGAAGCTTAAAAACACTAATAAATTAATGCTCAGAATGGAATGGACATTAACAAACATTAGCCACTCATGCTGGATGCAGTGGTCTGATCTTCTCACTCTGTGTCCTACATGTGAAACATGTTTAAACTAGACATCATATTTGGATGACAAACATGTACACTAAGAAATCCATATAAAAAGCAGCGGATGCACTAGCAAGGAGCAACCCTTTGTTTTTGGTGCTGTCCTAATAAATGAACCCTTTGTTATTTTTCATTGTCATTAGTAGCTAAAGCTCATTTTAAATTTATGGTAATAAAGTAAACAGAGTAGAACCAGGTGAAGCAACATAACTGCATTTCAATTACTGTAACCTAGAGAAAATATATCCAGGTGAGCCCAGCTGACCTGATTAACAGACAAGTAATAACAGCTTAAGTAGTAGCAGGTTAAGAAACTAACACAGACTGATGTCCGAGGTGCCTGATGAACACCTTTACAGACATCTAACCAACATATTGTATATGTATCTGGTAAATGGTCTTATACTTGTATAGTGTTTTTGTATGCGTTGCAGCACGCTCAAAGCGCTTTTACACTATTTGCAATCCTAAATCAGTGATATTCACTGGTCTGAAATTTGGTGTCCTGCTCAAGGACACTGCGACACGTGGACTGGAAAAGCCAGGAATCGAACCGTCAACCTTTCAGTTAGGAGACGACCTGCTCCACAGCTGCTCATTGCTATACACTAAAAATGTGGAGACAACTTCATTCCCTTGCTTTTTCTAAGCCCGACTGCTCATCAGCGAAAACGGTGACACTAAATATAGCCGACAGATAAGAACATGCATTCAGTGCTGTCAGAACTCACCTCTCCCAGCAGGTTGCCGTAGAAGATCTTGAACACCTCGTAGAAGCCGAACTTGCACAATCCCTGCATGGAATAGCCGATGAAGGTGGGGGCCCAGCCCTTTGCCAAGCCTCTGACACCATCTTCCCTCACTGTCACAGCAAAACCATTCCCAATGCTCTTGAACTTATCTGGGTTCACCTGAAGAGGGGAAACACTACAGTAAAAATTTATGTCAGTACACAATGGACAGCTCTAGGATCTCACATTAATACACTACAGTGGAACATAAAGCCACCTTTTGGCTAGCCTTTCATCTACATTTCAAACTGTTAAGTTGCCACTTTGGGGGGAAAAAAAACAAAAAACTAAAATCAAAGTCAGTGATAGAATTCAGCCACATCAAACTGTTGATTAAAAAGACTTTCTGCAGCTGCTGGTGTGTTTAGCTAATTTTACACTTTCAAGTGCTGTGCTCAACTTCCAGACTACTGCAAAACATGACAACTGAGGAACCTGAGCTTTAAGACAACTAGGTTATTGGTTTCCACTAATGAAACAGGCTCTTTTCTATCACACTAATCATATTTGAACCTATTCATAAAATGTACAGTTCACCAAGAGGCTCAGGGAGCTGCTGGCTACTCTGCTAGTGTGAGGTTCAGCTTCCATACAAACCTGCAGACGGCACTTGACAAGGTCGAGCGGCACCACTGCTGTGTGTGTAATGCCGCAGCTCAGGATACCCCCAAACCCACACAGGGCATAGTACTTTAAGGAGCCATACTCGCAGCTGACACCCTCTGTAGTAGAAGGGATGGGACACACAACATGCATGCAACATGCAGGGTCACATGCAACATTTGGACAAAAATCAAAACCAAAACAGAGCCACATAATGGAGGAGTTGTCACTGCAGGAGCAGAAGAAGAAAAAAAAAAAAAAAAAACTTCCAGCCTGAAATCAGTGCCAGTCTCTCTCCATTATGGATGGCTCTGCCACAAACATGCCACCATTTATGAGGCTCATGTATCAAAGAGTTTTCACAGATTTCAACATGAACTTTCAGGAACCACAATGGTGTTTTGCCAGATACACATTCACTACAAACAATTACTGCTCATACTCTTTAAAAGCATATTACAAGTTGGTAGATTTGTTTCCTACCTAGCACACAGCCACTGGTTTTCATTCATCTCAGTAAACCATGTATTTTAACCTAGAGCAAGCTTTTCTATACTTTTATAATGCAACACTTCACCAATGACTGCCTAGAAGATAGAAGCGCACTCTAAAAACTGGAGTATGATTGCAACATTTTAGTTTAAAAGGTTAAAGTTTACATGGTTTGTAGTTAAGTGGATAAAAAAAAAAAAGCAAAACATCAGTGTGGTCCTACAAATTTATCAAATAATAAACTTTGAAATGATTTAGCAACCATTAAGGCATAATTTATGAAACCACATGACCCACCATCCTCATTACCATAATGCCTGCCTTTATGGTCCTTTTGACTTTCTACTAGACTTATCCATGGTGAGGCAGGTAGAAATGATTAAACACTGGTGCAGAATCATGCAGCCATGTTATGATCACTCCAAAACATTAGGATCATGGGAATGAATGCAAAATGACAAAAATAACTTCATTACGGCAGAGCTGGTACCATGCAAACTGGTGCATTTAAAGCAAACAAAAACACGGTCACGGTTGGGTGAGACGTCGGTTTCAAAAAAATATATACATCACTAAGCCGTGGAGACAGACCTGCAATCTGCATTTGACCAGATCGAGGGGAACGACTGCTGTGTGTGTGGTGCCACAGCTAATAATCCCACCAAAGCCACACAGGGCGAAATACTTCTGAGAGCCGTACTCACAACTGTCTCCCTCTGAAGAAACACAGGTGAGACTGTAAGAACAGGGCATCTCTGAACTTTAAAATGACACTTTCTTTGGGTCTTTAACTCTGAGCTTAAAGAGTGGATAATAAAACATTATCCATGCCTTCAATCCAACTAGATGCCTGACAAGTCAAGACTTTTGAAAACCACCATTATGGTCATCAACTTCTTGTGCTGTTAGGATAAAGACATAAATGCAAGGGACAAATAATGAAAAAGCCTGTCCTTAGGATTGTGAAGAAGCTCACGACTTATGTTGAGATACAGTGAGCACTGAAATCCAGACAGATACCTTGTCTGGGCTAAAGGGCAGAATTTGACATTGGTTGACACTAGAAAATTGTTAGCATTACTGCTGTAAGAAAGTAATTGAGTACCATTTTAACAATATATCAAAACTTTCAAGGCAGTTTGTTCTTAGACACACAAAAAAAAATCACAGTATTTTATTACTTATCAGTCACTAATACAGTTTCATTCAGCTTAAATCCACTATTTTAATTCAAGTGCGACAGACTACATACAGTTTGCTGCAGTGCAAAGTCAAGATACCACTTTGTCCTTCCTTGTCCTCCAAGGGCGGCTTGTATGCAGACAAGGCCTAATAGCCAATCGCCCCCACAAGCACATTCCTATTATTCAAAACTATCAAAATGTTTGATAGGTAACTTTAATCGCGTACACTGTACTTAAAAAAATAATGTTAACACTTGAAATACATGGAAGCTGGCGCCAAGGTTGGCAGAATACGGTCAACTAAGCTAATGCAGCTAACACTAGCCCCGTAGCCGAGTTAACCTTACCTTCTGCGACGGCAGCTGCTGCAAATCTGCGGGTGCTCTGTCCATGAAGGCTCTGATGGGGTTCTTCCACTTTCTGGAGCGTGAATAGCGGAGCGCTGAACAGGTTAGCCCGAGCAAGCTGTGTCAAAGAGCTCGGGTACATATTGGATTCCTGTCTGCTGGCGGAGCTGTGCTGCAGTGATCAATAGGTTAATGTTAGCTGTGTGTTAGCTCAACCTAACTGGCAGCTTTGACTATCCAACTCCCTTCGACTTAAAACACATAACGAGACCCGAACTGTGTCATGTGCCGGTTAGCCTAGTTTGACGTCTGGGGAGCACAACAGGAAACACTTAGTGTACTGAATAAGCACAAATTACTAGAATAATGTTAAATCATGTAACGTCCATGCATCTCCCAGGACAACCGTTAGCCATTTGAAAATCCCAGTTTAAAATGTACAACCTGTCTGTCAGCATTTCTATAGCATTCCCCTTGTTCTTTGGTCCTGTCGTAGCTGATGCTAAAGCGCTAAGCTAATTTGACCGCTCCGAGATGGAAGTTCTTTTCTTAACAAAAGCATTGTAAATTCGCCTAAACATAACGGCTAACAATGGTCACAGCTGTGCAGAAATATATCCGTTACAAAAGACCCCCAGTGTAATAATTCATATGCCCCGTTTTAATAAATGATAATACTCACGCTCGATGTATCTTAAGATGGCGCCTCCGCTTCCCTATAACCCGGTGCTCATAAAGGCCGAATGACATCGCGGCAAATCGATTTGTCCTTTACTGACGCCATCAAAAAAAAACCTGGGCGTGTACTTACGTTTCTCTGTCCTATAAAGAAACAGTTCGAACTGCCAATCAACATCTGTGGACCAATCACAAATTGCCCCTGAAGGCGGTGCTTGTAGGCACTTCACTGAATTCTTCGTAGTAGAATTTATTTCCAGTAGTAGACAAATGAATGACTACGAGTTAGAGGAGGTGTGTGTGACTGAATCAAACTTAAGGACAACCTGCAGGAGCCAACAAGGCTAACAGAAAAATCCGTTATGTAACAGGATATCGAATAATGAAAAAATGACTTCACTTTTAAATGCTCACTTTAAAATACAAAAACGCAAATAAGAAAAACGCACTTTTTGCTTACATTTAACCATATATGTACCTGACAAAATATGCATTTTCCTTTTTATTTTTAATTGAGATCAAACTTTTTAGTTAATGTGTGGTTAATGTGCTCATTTTCTCTTTTCCGTCTTCATGTGAAAAATCGTCAAAACGGGTGCGTAGGCCTGGTTTTGAATTTTCAAAGTAAAAGCTCCGTTGTCTCTGCGGAGCAATTCAGCAGAATCTCCACCGACTGCAAGAGCTCAGTGCATAATGGGAGCAGACGTCTCTGAAGAGATCAACTCATGGTGCAGTGGTATCATTGAAGAGGGTTTGGTACAGCACTGAAAGGCTCAGCAACCCCTGCCACTCACTCACTCACTCACTCCTGCCTGCCCACTTTCCCTCACAAAAGCTTTTATTTTCCTTGACTGGTGATTTCAAATACTTGTCTAAGGTGTTATGGAACACAGTACGATCAATTTAGAAAGGGAAGGAAAAAAATCACGATGTTGTCATTGGAACTGATTCTGAAACTAGATGAGCTCACTGAGAACAAGAAACAGAGGTCTGTTTAAAAATGTAATGCTCAAATACAGATGAATGGAGGTGAGGTGTGCTGCTTTTTTGTCCCTCTCCACCAACTATTCCAAGCTTAAGAGCACATTGCATGAACAGTTTTATACATCCTTATCTTGAACTGCAAGTCACCAAATCAACCCCTAAAGGATGTCAACATCAATTGTATATTTCTTAGTTGGATCATAATGGCACACCATGTCAACTGATTCACAAAATCAGATGGATCCTTGTCTGGTTTTGGAAATTGCACAATACATTCTGGAAGGGTCCATGGTCTATCCTGTATTTGCACCCTATAATTTCCCCTGACTCTTCCTTATTTCTCTAGGTACCTTCACTTCTTCCTTGAGTGCCTCATTCACTTTTCTAGCAACTACAAAGATTTAAAGTCCAACTCAACTGTCCAAATTACCAATGACTCCACTTAAAGCTCAGACTCCTTCACACACACTGAGAAGAAGGGGAAAGACAAAGGCCTCGCCTTCTTATGATGTGAGTCGACTCAGTTGACCTTGTTCTCTATAGTGTGGAGAAGTCCTGGCTTACCTTATCCTGTATGTGTTTAGAACTGTGAACTGGTTGTCATGCTGCACTGATTTAACAAGATAAACAATGCACAGACTAAAACTGTAATGTTTCCAAAAAGCAATATACCACAGCAGTTTAACTATCACTCATTTGGCACTGCAACTGTCTCTCATGTTTGTTCTCTACTCATTTTCTCTCATTTCCAATTTACATGTCGGTTTAGAAAACACTTTCAATGTACATGTTGTAGCAATATATGGAGTCAGAAAAGAGGACAGACAAATTTGTTGCCAATTACTGTGTAATTTACTTTGTGAAAATATTCAAAAAGAGCTGTACCAGAATTGTTTACTTACAGTACACATGATAAAACCTGTGTTAAATGAATGTGCTGTGAGAAGACAACTGTTCTAAGATTGGAACCATGGCTTTAAAAAAAAAAAAATAAAATAAAAATAAAAAATTTGGCCTTACCGATTCTTCTGCATTACCTATTGGGTTGTACATCTCCTGCAGGATGAGCACATTTAACTTCCACTCATCTAGACCTGCTGACTGTAAACTGACTGTATTGAGCTTCTCTGACTGATAAGTCACCATTTATTCTGGTAACAGAAGAAACCTTCATAGTGCAAATAGTAACTAATAAAATCACAATCGCTGCAATTTTACAAGAAATGACAGGCCTCTGTAAAACGCATGTTGTTGATCCAGCATCTGGTGACAGCCAGGCATCTCCCATCATGCCTTGAGCTCTTGCAGCTAGTGGAGAGTCTGCTGAATTGCTCAGCAGACACAACAGAGCTTTTACTTTGAAAATTCCATGAAGACAGAAAACAGAAATAAAATACAAGGTATGTGCAGGGCTTGATGTGCATGCAGGTGAATTTTTTAAAATAACTTAATATACTAATTGCTCCTAATTGTCCAGAGTGTAGAGTGTGATGCACCAATTGCTTGCTTATGAATAAAATGCTCTTTCAGGCACAGTAACAAACAATAGTTTATTGAGTGGATATTCAATGTTTGTGACAGTGAATACATATATCATAATACACTGTAACATTCAATTTTATAAGAAAATATTGGTGTATGGTTGAAGAAGATTTAGAAGCACTTAGTTTATAATAAGCCTCCCTGTGTCATTAATGAACATGGCCAAGAAAAGTACATACAATTCTAATGCTGTGAATGACTAAGATAAAAACTGAGTGAAAAGAAAATCTCAACCATACACATTTAATACACGTCATGCAAGTCTGACATAAACAGTAACATGACAATGAATCTGCATAATTCTACAAAAGCGACAGTGTTCTTGTAACCTCAGACTGTAAGGTCGAAGGTCAGTGATGGACCAGAGCAACAACAGAAGACGTGGTACTGTCGTTTCACAGTGTGTCATGGAGAGAGGTGTCACTGAAAGACAGTGATGTTTCACTGAAAAGTGATTTAGAAAACAAAAAGGGGGGGAGAACAAACTTGAGGAAAGCTGGGCAATGGTGTCAGAGATAATTTCACAGCACCCATGAACAAAATGACTAGATTGAAAATTTACATTTAAAAAAAATTAAGCAGACAGGCTACTTTTTGCTCATTAACACTTTGTGTGCTCTCTATGCTGTGCTGTCACTGGCCACTTCTGTGTCTGAGAGTGTAAATGGGCTGATGGTGTTGGGCTCCATGGCTTGGTAAACCAGGAACAGGAAAGCTGCCACGATGGCCATCAGGAGCAGCTTAATCCACAGAGAGATGCTGCGGCGCACTGCTTTGGTCTGACCTGTAGGGGGTGCTGCAGACAGAAGCCTTGAGGAGGAGAAGGAGGTGGAGGGGGTGGAGGGGGGCAGGCTGGAGACTCTGTTGACAGTGCGGCTCTCTGTGTAGGAGGACAAGGAGCTGCTGGTCTTTGTGGTTTTTGGAGAGAAGAGATAGTTTTCGTCATTCCACAGCTCACTGGACTTCACTGGCCGACCAGCAGCTCCATGGATGGGTCGCCGACAGGTGGCCCTACAACAGACAAGTCAAGGAGTTTGGTTCAGTTGGTCTGCACCATCTAAACAAAGAAAAGATCCATCCATTGTCCTTTAGTTACGCCCAGGGTTGGCTGTTTGTTGCCTTGTTTGTTTAATTGTGATGACCACAACTCAAAAAGTAATGAACTGATTTAGATGACATCTTTTGGAGAGGTGGGCTACAGGCCACAGAACAACTGATTAGATTCTGGTGCTGATCTGTATCATAATTTGGATAGGGGAATAAATTATTCACCACTGTGAGTGAGGACTCCCAGCACATACGGAGACAAATCCGTGGGTTAATGACAGCTGCTCATTCATTGTCAATCAAAACTGAGTGCTGTCACTCAGTACAGCCTGCTGTGTGAGACGGGGACTGAAGGGACACAGTGAGGCGACAGCACAGAGTGAAACCAAAGAGTGAATGTTTGTCACGTCTATCATTGTTCTTGATCAACTTCAAACTAATAATGATATCAGCATCAGTCCCAATGTCCGGCAGCAGGATTTCATGATAAAGCATCATATTATGAGGGTCAAACTATATGGAAATACTGCTTTTATGGCATTATGATGAAACTGACTGGGCCCTTGGCAGAGGTATCACTGAGGGCTGTCTAGTTCTGGTTTGTTTCATGTTCACACCAACATTTTACAAACATGAACTCACATATACTAGCAGGTTACTGATTGACTGGGCAGTTTTGGTGTTATACTGCATCATCAGCACTACAAGAACCCAAAGAGGACAGTCCAAGTCCAGTGACAGAGCTGGTCAGGCTGATCTTCTCTGATGTCACAAACAAATAACTGATAAGTGTTATGCAGTCATTTCCCTCCCAGTGGGAACTGTAGTGTACCGGGCTTTGAATATTTCCATTGTTTGAGGAACTGACTATGCCCAGGCTGCCAACAGGATGAAAAGTGTGATGCCTGGCCCTGCTCAGACGCAGGACCCAGAATGTGCTACTGTCCCCCCACAAACCTGGCCATCTATGTCACTACCTTCTGAATCGCAGAAAGAAAACTTGAGCAACAGGAAGAGACTCAGCCTAAGAAAGAGAGCCGCCCTGTTTAAAAAGAAAGAAAGAAGAAGGAGATGGCAGTGCATTATGAAGAAATAAAAAGAAGCCGATATGCTTGTTGAATCTGTTTGCTCTGTTGCCCGCCTAATGTTGATGTCTGTTCTGGCCGTGCAGAAGACGGCACCATGACGCACTCTGCACGCACAGTGCTCATGCTGTGCAGTGGAAGCACAAACGTGTACTGGGGCCAGGCAGCCCGGGCCAATAGTTGGCCAACTGGCCAGCTGCCCTGAGTATGGGACAGTTCCTGGTGGCAGTGGAATGATGGCTTTCCAGATCCTCTGTGGACATCACCTGTCATAAATAGTGACAAACAGGTGGAAACGGGAGGAGAAAGAGGCATCTTTATATCATTATTACAGAGGGTAATTACTGTGCGGTCACCATGCTTCACACACTTTTTAATGAGGAGCTGATAAAATGCACAAAACACCTCAGTGTGAAGTGCTGCTCACTTTGATTAATTACAGAAAATCCTAACACTCCTATGCCGACCTGAAATGTGTTACCACGGTACCAAACATTACCAAATTATCAATTTAAGTCATTTCTGGCACAAAGCTCTTTAAGGCAGCCTAGGTCTGCAATTTGATCGACAGCTTTCACAGCAGCCTACATGAAGCATCCGGTTCTTTCTCTGTGGAGATTCTCAGTCATCCAGGTCATAGTGTATCTGAAGTGCTAAAAGTTGGCTACTTCACTCGTTTGAGGTTCTTCAAGAGCCAGATCCGTGAATGTGAGAGCACCCTGAATTTATCCACTATGCAGCTTGATTCTGTTGTCATCATAAAGGACCATAATTAGAATGTCTTGGGCCTTTTGGAAGGCCTTTAGTCTCTCATAGCTCATGGTGGGCATTATTTTAAAATTATTGATCATGTTAGAGACAATGGATGAAACAATCATTAACTGATAAACGAAAAGCCTAATGAGTTACTTACGTGATTCCTGTTGGACTGTTGCTGTCACTGGGGAAGAGCTCCTTCAGAACATCACTCTCTTCCACTTTGGGGGTTTGGTCGCTGGCTGCTATCTTCTCCACCTACAGAAAACAAAAACAAAAAGCATGGTGAGTATGTATTCAGAACAAACACCACTGGCTCATGACTACACTTCATCAGCAGACTTTAGAAAGCTTCTTGTTCCATACACATTTCAATGGATTCAGATGCAAATGAAAACCCCCGTTACACCAGTCACCTGCAGGTGCATGATTACCCAGCCGAGGGGTCTGCGCCCGACATTAGACTTCGCTCACCATGTGATCACCTCAAACAAAAGGCTTTGCCAGCCACCATCTTTACAAAACCACCTTGTGAGTGTGACAGAGTACAGGCTCTGCCCTGTAACAATCTACCTGTCTCACCAACACATCCTTTGACAACGTGGATGCGTAGCCATGTGTCTTCACAGGGCTGCATGTGGGCAGTAAGCTGGTGATTTTCTGCTGCCTCAGTTTATGCAGCCTGACCTCTGGAGGGGAACACTCCTCCTGGATACAAACAACATGTGTGACTGTGTGTCGAGGCAAATGTTCAGCTGTCACACAACTGTCTGTGCACAAACCCTCAAACAGCTGCACTCACACAAGCACGATTACCCTATTCATTTGTACAACACTATACTATTGAATGTGAGTTTCAGCTCTTCATTCTTCATTGGCCCAACCAAAGGTGCACCAGTCAGTGAGAAGCAGGTGTGAGGGACAGGGAAAAAAAGATAAAAGTAGGAGCAATGTAGTAGAGCTGTACCCCTGCACCAGTAATGCTGCTGGATTTGGCCCCAGTCTGCTCAGACAGTGTCCAGTGGGACTCCTGGCTCTTAATGGGTGAGATGTTGCACATGGGGCTAAAGGTGACTGGGTTGACTCTGGTCAGGTGAACCAGATGGGATGGAGGCTTGGCAGCTGGTCGTGGACTCTGTTCTTCGGGCAGGCTCTTTGACTTATGCAAAACACAAACTAGACTATTAAATATAAATGTTCAAAAATACTGAAAAATAATGGAAAATTTAGCGCTTGTTATTATACTTAATAACAAACCAGTACACTGATTAACTCCAGCACAGATATAATTCTACGCACCATAGACAATGGTCTCACAGGGGTAACAACATGCTGTTCTACCGTTGGTGCAGTTCTTGACTCAGGCTCCTGATACACCAACACAAAGGTACAAGATCAAATAAATAAATAAATAAACAAATAAATAAAAAAAGAGAGAAAGGGAGAATTATGATTGACAATCGAGACTAAAATTTCACCCTCCATCTACATCACCTGCAGTTTTCGTGCCTTTGTTTCACAACAAATGACACTTCAATCTTATTGAGTGTAAATGTGTACACACACTTGTTATGTAGTTGCCACCTGGAGCTACAGTTCACTCACAGGCTCCATATACACACACACACACACACACACACACACACCCCACTACTTTTTGAATGTGCAGGCTGATCAGCTGAATATGAAATGTCAAATTCTTGTCCACCACCCCACAATACACCATTCAGTGAACAGACCTAGACATAGTGAGTATACTGGCACTTGGTTGGATGTTATACTGTTATTGAAGAGCAGGTCAGCCACTGTGAGCATGCCCAGTGTAGCTCTGTGTAAAATATACAGAAATATGACTAACCTCTAGCAGAGCAGTGTTGAGCACAGTGAGTGGCTTATAAGATGAATCCTTACTGGACTTGGGAAGTTGTTGCACCAGTTCTCCCTCGTGGAGCTAAGGTTTTAAACAGAATGTAGGTTTGGAGGTGGTTTCTTTTAGGATTCTTTGTGGATTTTCAACTCAATCCACAGCAGCCAGTGACCGTATGTTTCTGCGCGTTGAAGCCGATTATGCTTCAGTAGGCTTTAAACAAAGTGCTTGTAAGATGTTGCATCTGACAATTTATGGAACTTTCTGAAACAATTACACCACTTTAAGCTGTGGTTGGCCAGGTTTACAGAGGTGAGAAACTAGGCGGTGTTTAAACATTTCTCTTACTTTGTGTGTACAACAAAGTGCAGCACTGAATGCCTTCGTTATTTATACGACTCATCGCTTCAAAACTGCACAGTCATGTATGAGAAAAGTTCCTAAAGAAAGCCTGGAGAGGCAGTGTGATGCACAAATGAAAACATACTTCTCACTCTGTCTTTGGGCATTTACAGTGTGTATCAACACCACTACCTTCAAATATGGACTGAGGGCACTTGGTGTGGCCATGTCTGAAAGGGTAGGGAAATCAAAGACTCATCAGTTGGAGCAGACTGATCAGTCAGAGTGAAAATTCGAGCACCTTCTGCTGGACCACAAGGCGATATATATAAACACTACATTTTGAATTTGACCTAGTCATTACAGTTTTAATATTTTGTCTGTACTCCACATTCAATCAAAAGTTCAAATTTCAAATAAAAAGTGACAGCCCTATTGTCTAAGGTAAAATATCTTTTTGAAAGTTGAGCTTTTGAGTTTGTGGCCGGCTTCTTTGAGGCTTCAAACAAGTCAAAGATCTTTTGGGATTCAGGAAATCCCACCCCAAGAATGAGCAGCAAAGTCACCTTCCAGTGGGGAGTCCCAGGGCCTCTGGAGACCTCTGCTGTGTTTTGGATGCCCATCTTTACTGCACGATCAAGGTTCAGTTTGTGGCTCACACTGTGGGACAGAGGGCTACCTGCTGGACCCTGAGACAGCCACATCAGCAAATAAAATAAACTTCAGAATTTTCAGTAAAACACACTAAGGGGTGACACAGGAAAATGCAAAGCACCAAACAGCCCAAAATATAATGATGGTGGTGCTAGTTCACTGTTACAAAGAAGAACTGAAAAGTGACCCATTTGTGACCACTAGCCTTGTGGATGCACATGTTTTGTCTACAGGTGCCCACCCTCATGTGCAGTTTGAAATGAGAGGACCAGAAAGTATATCCCTGAAGGCAGAGCACTCATCTCTTAATGAATAGGCACTGGAACAAACAAACCAGTGAGCTGGTGCACAAGTAGGAGTGAAAGAACAAACAGCCTGCTGTGGCCTATAGCTACCTGAGCAGGTCTACGTGAGGTGGGGTGAGATTCAGCCCATCTGCTGGGACAGAGAGGCCAGTGGATAAGGGCAGAGTACAGACAGAAAGAAGGACAGATAGTAATTTATATTCCCGATTATATGTGGAAAAAGAGGACAATTCAGAGAGAAGAGGTGCAAAGCATAAAAGGGTGAAGCATTATTAGCATGTGGGAGATTCCAAGTCTGCTTTTTGGCATGTTGTGTAAACTGGACTGCTTTATACAAATAAGTTTGCATTGGGAAAAAATAACTGTCATTTGTCTTTTGCTGTGCCATTAGAAATGCCAATTCACATCTAAGCTGCTGATATCACATAACTGGGGCACAAAACTGCTGCCTATCAGGAAAGGAGTTTTGTATCTCTATTGGCACTTTGACACCCATCTTGTTTGCTCCAGACCTTCTGACTTTTGATTGGAATCAAGATAGTAGGTGTGAAAAGTACCTCTGACTATGAAGGATCAGAATTTGGTCCAACAAAAAGAGGTGGTCTTGGTCCTGATCAGACTGAACCATGGTTCGGATTGTTTCTAGTGTAAAAACAATTTGAGATACTCGGGGTCTTCTGACCATTACAGGGAAGTTTGCTCATCATTTGAACAACAAAAGAAAAAAAAAAGGAACTGGAAAGAATTAAAGATGAGGCATAGGGGCACCTGGGGAGAGGAGGAGACGAGGTAGGTCTGCACTATGAGGACATTCATATGGCGTATTCAAACTAGACACGAGTACTGTACTTGAAGTTGGTGCTGCTGATAGTAATACCGTAATAACAGCACTATAGTGGCAATTAAATTATTCATTTATTCATTCATTTTCTTTTTTCCCCAAACAAAAGAGGCTACCAATCAAACTAATCAAATCAAATCAAGTCTAGGGAGATGAAGCCCATGATCTGATGAATTGCCTAAGGCAGTTAAAAGAAGTTTTGATAATTTATTGTTTTGAGCTGCGGCAGTGTCGGGACTTTCTGCTTTTCTCTCTTTTATATCACAGGAAACTAATTATGGCTGAGTTTTGGATTGTGAATCTGACAAAACAAGCAGGTGTCACCTTGGAGTAGATAGTTCTGATGGACACTGGGTCTCATTCACCAATATCTTCCTAAGTGTTTCTTAAATTTCTATGTAGGTTGCATTTAAGAAAGTTGCTAAGAAAAGTCTACATCGGAGTCATGAATGTGTTCTTAAACTGCAGAACTGTTCGCGTGCCAGTCATTCCTAATTAGCATAGGTCAATGCCCTGCAAATGCTCATATAAGGGAATGAGACTGTAGGGTCATGCACACAGGAATCTCATACAGAAAAGGAAAAGAGAAGTAGAGAAAGCCAGTATAATCTAAAGATGGTGGAGCAGCAACCTCCAAACCAAAGATAAACTTGAGTAGTTATGAAGTGGAGAACAAAAGAGCTGCCATATTTAGTAGCATCAGTAGTGGATATAAAATAAAACAAAAAAAGACGCTCTTACTCATTCAGTGAGCACGGTACAAGGAGAAGGGTGCACACTGAAGAATTAAAAAGATGATCTCAAATCTGAAGCAACAACAACAAATATGGAAGAGAGATGTTGACCAGTGGACGAGGACAGGTTGGCCCACAGTTATCTGAGCTGCATCAGTGCATTGGGGCCGTAAACGGCTCTCATGTGTGCAGGCCTCCATGTGTGCCCCAAGTCTGATCTCAGATGCGGTGCTGGTCAACCAAACGCTTCCACACTAACCAAAACATCCGAGAGGCACTCAGATATTTTAAACATTTTAAAAGACCATAATATTTATAAAATAATTTGAATAAAACTAAATATTAATAAAAATACTGAATTCTAATGATGACAAAACCATTACAGTAACAAATCTCATGACTGTAGAACTGAAGAAAACAAAATAACAGGTCACTTCATACACACGTCAGTGCTTAAAAGTTCAGTAAATGTGCTCCCGAGTGTGCGTATATTGTTTTTATCTAAAAACAAATCCCAAATAAGAAAACACTGGTGAATGCCAGTATCTTTGGGAAAACTTCGTAAGTGAGTTTTACGAACAAATGTGTTCTTAAGAACGGCTGGGGAAGAAGGACCCTGTATGTACTTTGACATTTTACACACCCTTAATTAATCTGAAAAGTAACCAACAGGTGAAGAAATCATAACCAGAGTTACATTAAAGTGTTAGTTACTGTTATAGAAGAGATAAAACTTGGACATGTCCACGAGGTTTTATTAAATCATAGTTTTAGGGTTGTGATGAGTATGCAAAGCTGTCCACAGCAACCAAGTGGATAGGAATGTATATAAAGAAGAATGTATAAAACCATCCTTTCAATGGTGATTTTATATTTTGCACTGTTGACATCTTTCCAGCCATTGCAGCAGACTTGGAAAAATACAGGAAGATGCTGAAGAGAAGGGGCTGTGCGTGTGTGTGTACATAGACCAGCTGCACAGGTAAACCAAGAGCAGAGGAGACAGCGAGAAGGTTGTCAGTGTGGCACTGTACGCCAGTGGGTTGAATCAGTTACAGTGTTGATGTGAAGTGGGGGACACACAGTATTCACCACTCTGAGGGAGATCCTCCTGGATCTCCGCTTTACTCTCAGGACAGGCTCTTCATCCTCTTCCTCCTCATCCATCAAATGGTCTCCCTACACACATGGTATGTAAATACAGGAAGATGCTGAAGAGAAGGGGCTCTGTGTGTGTGTGTGTGTGTGTGCACATAGACCAGCTGCACAGGTGGACCAGCAGACAATGACAAGACGACTTATAGCCCATTTATGTCTTGTGCATTCTCTTCTATGCATGTCCAAGTGTGTGTTGATGGAGTGGTTTACATGTTGTATGCTTGCATTGAGATAATTTCCCACACACAATCACAGAGCCTGAAGTATCTCTGCTTGAATATGAAACATGAAAATGCGTACCTTAACTATAACGCAGACTGCTGAGAGTTAACCGACAAAATGCAATCGATATTAAGCATCAAATCATTCATCAGGCAAAAAGGTCATTCCAGTTTCTTAAATGTGAGGACTGATGTTTTCTATAACTACTACTACTACAACAACGCCTTATGTTACTATATAGAAATATCTTTATAAGCTCTGGTAAATTATAATGGGTGACTTCCATTACTTTCAGGTGTAAAAAAAAACGTTGTACTCAAAAGTCAAGGTTAGTAGTGTACATAATAATGGCAGGTCAAGGCTATTTACATTGCTGGAAATGAAAATTTAGTCTCAGAAGGCTTCGTAATCTGTTGGATTCAGAGGAGCAAAAGGAAAAGCAACAAATCAGGGATTCTTCTTCCAGGGGAGCCAATAGATAGTAGTACCAGAAGGCAGATTACAGTGTGGGAAATATAATAAATACAGTATACAATCAAGAATTACACTGTAGCAACACTAAGATGTACTAAAACTACAGATGTGGAAAAAAATACAACCAGGAATTGCAAGATAACAACTAATGGCAGCTTTTCAAAACACCAAAATCTTCTCAAGTCCCGATACATGTCGGGCCATGTTTGCAATGTGCACACACCAAGTGCAACACTAAAACCAACTCTGCTGGCAGAAGCAAGGTTGCATTTAATTAAAATTACAATGTATAAACACAATGACATGCTTTAAAATCAGTACTAACTTAAACCTGAACCTGAATTTAACCAGAATCCTAAAACCAAATGTTACTTGAACCTGTAAGGTGTCCTCACAATGTAATTTCAGAAGGAAGAGGTGAGAAGCAGCTGGAGTGATGAAGAGAAAAGTTAATGTGTGAATAAGTCTAGAACATCCATCATGTGAAAGGCAGCAGCTAATCCATATCATGTGCTTTGAGTCTGAGACGCAGCACTGATAACACTGAGATGGGTGTGACTGCATGTCAATAAAATGGGGAGACGGCATAATCAAACACAGTTGCTGGGCATCCTGCAGAGTCTACACCCACTTGTGGACTGCAGCTCGGCGACATGGGGGTTAACAGTGGACAAAACAGCTTGTGGAAAAACCCTCTATGCCACCCCTTTGCAAAATGTACAGTATGTAGTTGTTCCTTTCAAGCATGTTAACCTGACATGGGTAAGGAAAACTGAAGCACATGCTTGCTGTCAAAGACGAGATGCTATCCTGTCCCAGAAAACTACCTAAGGAGCCAAATTCCTTGTGGCTACAACTTGTTTTCAAACCTACAATTTCACAAGGAAATATACAGCTCCTTTATCACTCAGGTTTGTGGATAACAAAGCACTGAAATGGTCACACTGTCAACATCCAAACTACTGCTATTATAGACATAAGTGAAAACAGCTGCTGTTTGCTGTCAGACGCATCTGTATCAACACATTAACAATAGATGCAGCAAAAAAGTTACAAGAGATCTGGCACAAACAAACTATGACCGTGATGACAGAAACAACAAGAACATTTTTGTAACTGGTCGCAGTTACCAGAGTTGTGTCACCATGTAAATGGACTGATGTGCTGACTTTTCCCTGTGAGTGAGTGATGTTGTGGGGCTGGCTTGTTGAAGTGCCGTTTCTTACCGTGTGGTGCTGGCTGCTGTGGGTGCGTGTGGTAACAGGTGCCTTCCCTCGGTTCCTCACCACTCTCTCCACTACTGGCACTGGTTCAGGCTCTGCCACAGGCTCCGTTTCTGTTGCCAATTCTGGCATAAGGTTGTGATACAGACAATAAAAGGTGAGATTTACACATTTTAGTGATGAGGAACAAACTGTTACCAATCAGCGCCAATCACTTTTCAAGGCATAACAGATTTTCTTACCCTCCAGGAAGCCATTAGTTTAATTTCATTTAATTTGAGTACAGTGAAAACCCACTTGTAGAGAAAGCTCACCATGGAATGATTTTAGAGGAAGCTTTAACCTTCAGCATTAGAATACCTATGAAAATACTATCAAGTCCAAGACTTTTCGCATGTAACAGATGCATTACCCTCACTGCCAGAACACTGTTTTGTCAGAAGACTAAAAGGCCATGAACTGGTCAACAGTGTCAGCTATCTCTCTGGAACAGGATTTTAGTCTCTGCAAGTTGGAATCCGAAAATGCTATGACATGTTTTGGAAAGTGGTTGTCAATGTAAACACAAATGTCGTTAGAAGATGCAAACCCATTGGTGGTCTGTCTAAATAATATTCCCCAGTGTGGAAATACATAATATCAGATTAAAGAGTGAATGACAGAGCACCACACCCAAGTGTGTAATATATCAAATATTTTTTATTTGGCTGCCCACCAAGAGCATGGTCTGTTGGATGTTTTCTTCTAAGGGACTTCTTCCTCTCCACTTTTACCAAAGGGCTTGCTAAAGGTGTGGGGTTTGTCAGTTTTCACTATGATACTGTAAGGTCTAGACCCTACCATGTAAAGTGCCCCAAGATGATTGTTGTCGTGATTTGCTGATATACAAATACAGCTGAATTGAATTAATAAACTATTTCTAGGACTCTACCTGAATAAGAATTTTGTCAGTCAGCTCTTCAATGTGACTATTCATACTTTGTCATTTCAGTCATCCATTCTTTTTTTTTTTTTTTTTTTAATTGACACACACACACACACACACACAAACAGTGGCCCCATCTGTGCAAGGCGCTCCAATGGCCATCAGGAGCAACTTGGGGTTCAGCGTCTTACCCAAGGAGACCTCGGCATGTTGACTAAGCACGACGGGAATCAAACCACCGACCTTCCAGTTGGGCGCCGACCACTCTACTTCATCAGCCACAGCTGCTTACCACACTTGCTATGTTTTTAAAACTAAATTGTCTAAAATTGTCTCAAGCAACATATGAATGAAACAACAATGTTATCATGTGATTCAGAAATGTTAACTGACTGGTAATAACTCACAAATCGAGCGTCTTCTTCTTCTCAGGAAATGTTTGGCTCATTGTTATTTCCTACTGTTGATTCATAGTGACCTGATTCTCGCCTTTGTTGGAGGAAGTATCTGGTACTATAAAGAAAATGAAAGGTGGCCCAAATGGCTTCCCCACTGATTTTTTATAAACAGCTAATTGAATCTTTTATCACCCTTACTTTTAGGCATGTTTAATGACTCTGTGGATCATCGTTTTCACCCCCTCACATTATTATGTCATTATCAAGAAAAACAAGGAACCAGAATAATGTAATAATTGGAGATCAATACGTTTATTAAACAGATGTAAAACTTTGACAAAGATTTTGTCATTTACATACTAAGGGCAAATTAGAGTCCCCATAGAGCTCTCTGTCTTCTCCCACTCCTGCTCCTTTTTCTGCAAGGTACTCTTGAGGTCCTGTATGATCTGAAGGTACATTGCCTTTTCCTGCTCATACTTCATACGAGCCTTCTTCAGGGTATCTGTTTGGATGATCGAGAGCTCTCTATATTTGTTGAACTGACCAACAAAGAAGGATTTCTCTCCTTGCCACTGGACCTGACAACACTCAAGCTGCTCTTCAGTGTGCTTTAGTGCTGCCATGAGATCATTTTTCTCCTGGAGTAGATGACTGTGCTGAGTCTCACTGGAGGATCTGCCGCTCTCCATTTCTTCTAGCAGGGAGGCTTTCTCCTGTGTCCACTGCAGGCGCTCATTCTCTGCCTTCTCTATGGCTATTTGTATTTTAGCCATAAACCCCTCTTTCTCTTGCATTTGCTGCTCTAGGTGGGCAGCATAGCACTTCTGGGCTTTGTCCAGGTCTGCCTGGAGGGAACACCTTTCCCCCTGCCACTGTTTCTCTGCCTCCTTCTGAGCAGCCCTCAGCTGATTAGTTTCAAGACTGTGTTGCTCCAGCTGGGAGTTCATAGAGCTCTCTGTCTTCTCCCACTCCTACTCCTTTTTCTGCAAGGTACTCTTGAGGTCCTGTATGATCTGAAGGTACATTGCCTTTTCCTGCTCATACTTCATACGAGCCTTCTTCAGGGTATCTGTTTGGATGATCGAGAGCTCTCTATATTTGTTGAACTGACCAACAAAGAAGGATTTCTCTCCTTGCCACTGGATCTGACAACACTCAACCTGTTCTTCGGTGTGCTTTAGTGCTGCCATGAGATCATTCTTCTCCTGCAGTAGATGACTGTGCTGAGTCTCACTGGAGGCTCTGCCCTTCTCCATTTCTTCTAGCAGGGAGGCTTTCTCCTGTGTCCACTGCAGGTGCTCATTCTCTGCTTTCTCTATGACTATCTGTATTTTAGCCATAAACCCCTCTTTCTCTTTCATTTGCTGCTCTAGGTGGGCAGCATAGCACCTCTGGGTTTTGTCCAGGTCTGCCTGGAGGGAACACCTCTCCCCCTGCCACTGTTGCTCTGCCTCCTTCTGTGCAGCCCTCAGCTGATTATTCTCAAAACTGAGTTGCTCCAGCTGGGCCTTGAGATCATTATTCTGTTGCAGTAGATTATTCTGCTTAATCTCATAGGTGGTTCTGCATTCCTCAATTTCTTCAAGCAGGGAGGCTTTCTCCTGTTTCCACTGGAGAGCAGCCCTCCGCTGATTATTCTGTAGATGGCATCTGTTGAGCGGTGCTTCAGGTTTTGTCATTGTGGCCTTCGGTGTTTTCTTTCCACTCTTTATAGTGTTCAATTCACCTTCAGTAGAGGCTGTCAATTGCTGACACCCTAGTTTGCCTTCCATGGAACTATCACAGAAAGGTAATGAAGGTTTCAGCGTTTTCCTCTGTTGGACCTTAGTTTTCTTCCACCTCCTCTGTGTTTGTTTCTTAGTACTCTGTGTACACTCCATAGCAAAACCAAACTTGCAATGTTACACAGTAGATAACTGAAATCCTTCTCAAGGCTGATAATTTCTCAAAATCAAATTACAACTTCTCTGTGGTACTTAATGCCAGTTAGTGTAACTCTGTAAAGCAACGTTCTCTTGTGATCAGTTTAGTGTCTTTGATGGTGATGACGTAACGGTTGCCATTGAATACCACAAAACACACACATATATATATAGCGTAGACTGTCAGAAAATCAATGGACATTAAATTTCAAGAGTGTCAATAACATATTTCTGAGCATAAAAAAGCAAAAAATGTTTTTTTAAAATAAAATAAATAAAAGACAGCTGCATATGACGCAATAACCAAGATGGCGGCGCGTCTCCCCAGTTTTCGCAATGATTCTTCTGCTCATTTTGTGTCTGTTCGTGCAGAATAGCTTCATCTTGATATCCAACACCCACAAGAACTTTTGGATATCGGTCAACACCACTCCAACAGCTTTGTCTCCAATCTTCGACTCACCCCTGAAATCTCCAAAACACCGGAGACTACGCACTCAACCCGGCGGGGCGGAAGCGCTTGCAGGCGGCTTCGAAATCGTAAACAAAGGCATGGAAAGCGCGGAGGAGTTAGAGCTAAGCTAAAGCTAACACCGTATAGGCTCACTTTACCCAGCATTTTCCCCGCCAATGTGCGACCATTGATGAACAAGATGGACAAGATGCGGCTTCGCATCATCAACAGTAAGAGACTTGTGGACTGCAATATTATGATTTTCACGGAAACCTGACTAAACAGCAGCATACCCGACAGTTTTCATCCCATTGCACTAGTGTCTTGAGACTATTACTGAAAAGGCCAAGATGGGTGAGTGCCAGTGAATTGTTTGTGTCACTACGAGTTATTATTTTATCAGCTATTTTAAGAAACCTGATGTATAAATTTATCTGTCGCTTGAATAGCTCGGAAAACCATTGTTTTATTGTTGACTAACACTGCATATAGTGACATGCGATATACATCAGTACTCTGGAGACACTGGTATACTTGCCTCTTACAGAGATAGTAGTGGACTGGTTGTTTTGTGTTGTTTTTTTAATTGTTTTTATTGTTGTTGTTTCTTTTTATTGCTTGTTGTTGTTGAGGTTTGGACCTTGAGTCTGCAATAAAGTTTCTATCCATCTATAAGCTTAATGTACCTTATCCATTACTTGTAAATGAATAGTCTGTTTTATATTGTACATTACCCTACATATCTTACTGTAAATATCAATTGTACATATCTATCGGTAAATTAATTCTGACTGTACAGACTGTAGTTACTGCCCCAAAACGAGGAAAAGGCAGCAACAAACTAATGGGGACTGGGGTTAACTTCTATTGTAATGCACACTGGCTGACAGAAATAAAATATATTCAAATAAAAAGAAAGGCCCGACTAGAAGAGTCTCAGTGGACTGACAGGTTTTCTGACTAATGACTCGACTATTAGGGGGGAAGCCCTGAGTACTGGATATTTTAGGTAATAACATTACAAGGAGAAAAATCTTTAGTTTCCAAAAGTCCTGTACATGTATTCAGAATTTGCTGTAACACTATTCTCACCGTCCTCCTTGTCACTGTAGAGGTCTGATTCCGAGTTGCCATTGTAGTTGACCTGTACCTCAGTGAGGACCAGCTGTGGTAGTGGTGGCTGTGCAGGACCGTCATCTAACAGCTTCTGCAATTTCTTCTCATACAGCTTACGGGTGGATGCTGGGAGAATGAGCAGAGAGGAGAAATTCATTTAAACTTGCACAAGATGTGACAAGTCAGCCCTAGCACTAGAAATCATTAAGTCATATCAGCACTTTGCACAGAGTACTATGTTTACCATCCTGATGGGCCTGTGAGGACCAGAGAGGGCAAAGGTGTACAGCAGCTGAGCCTGGCCGCCCGATTCATTATTAAAATTCTTGGGAAAATATTGGGGTTTAAAATTCTCTGTGCTTATGTGTTTAGAGATGCACCAATTGCAATTTCCTTGGCTGATTCAGATTTCTTTAAAAAGTCTGATCTGATTATCTTTCTAAGAACTGTAATCAACAGCATACGCAGACCTTTTTAACTTTTCTTTAATCAAAAATTTTATTGTAATAAAAATTAAACATATTAAGGTTTTACATACCATCTTTCTCACTTTGTTTTACAAACCACCAACTAAAAATGAAGTGCAGTATTTGAACTTCTCCAAATATGAAAAGGTGCAACAGGTAGTAGAAACAGAATGTCAGTTACTACTGAGCACACAGTTTCCCTTTAAGTGTGTGCAGTTTGTATTCGCTGTGTTTTACCACAGGTTGACACATATACATGCATTTCATGTGGAGCCAGTAACTCCCTCATTGGGTACTGTTTGGAGATGTGGACGTAGTTTCCCCTTCTCCAAGGTGTTTCTGTGGCTCCTCTGTGCACCGTTTGTGCACCAACCACTTCCAGAAGAGAACACATGCCTGGAGCAGACATAAGGTCCTCCTCTCTCCCCCTCTTTTTGTTTTTAACAAACCAACTAAAAGTGAAGTGCAATATTTGTACTTCAAATATAATCAATCAGGTGCAACAGCTAAGGGAAACAGAAGAATGTCTGTTACATCAGTCCTACTGAGCATAAGCAAAATTTAACTGGTATACTGAGCTTCCATATGAATGCTCTCATTCTTTGGCACATTTGTGCATTATTGACTGCTTGAAGTGTGTGTAGTTTGTATTTGCTGTGTTTTACCACAGGTTGGATACACTGTACATATACATGCATTTCATGTGTAGCCAGTAATTCCCTCTCTGTTTACCATTTGTAGGAGATTTGGACAGTTTCTGTTCCCCAGTGTTTCTGTAGGCTCCTCTATACACTGTTTGTACACCAAATGCTTCCAAAGAATACGTGAACATGTGACTGGTACAGTCGCATGTGCCTCGCTCAAGGCACACATGAGATGCTACGTGTTGCACACACTTCGCTGTTGGTCTGTTCCATTGTGTGCGTGACATGAACAGTTGTGACCTGAATGAATAAATGGTCTCTTCCAGGATGAAGGAGCCCAAGATCAGGACATGAGGGGTCATTGACTGGTTTGATGAAGAATAAAATGATGTGATTCATATGCTAAGGCCGTCAGAGTCACCAAATAACCCCCCCTCACACTTTTAATATAAAAAACCTGCAGGAAGCCCTAAATTACATTTAGAGTACCATATAGGGAAATTAAATTCAGGGTAAAGCAAAAATCAGTTATTTGTTTCTAAACACATTATCAGCATTAGAAAACAGCTGCTCAAAAACATGAAAAGACTGAGAACTGTGTAGTGCTGAATTGTGGCGTTAGACCGTTTCATAGTCTTTGAGTTCAGGACTTTCTGGGCAGGGCAGAAAGCGTCGCTCAATGATGTACTGGAGCCATCCTTAACATAACGCCTTCCCCCTACGCAGAAACATAAATTCTAGAGTGTACAGAGCTCTATGCCTGCATTTGGTTTTAGGGGTATTCATGAGACTGAGCACAGGCGAATGTTTAAGGCCACGGTTCTTTTTTAAGAAATAACATTAATGCTGCTGCCTCCATATTAAATTGACAAAATGCTGAATGGTTAATGTGTTGGAGTGGGCCTGAATCGACCATAGCTGGTGGAGGGACAGAGACGCGAGGATGATATCGGCCACAAAGAGGACTGTAAAGCTGCTGCGCTGGATACAGCACCACAGTTAGCCTAACAAGCTCACAGACGGTAGACAAAGCTTACATTTTTGTTTCTCTGCTAGTTCATGCTTCTTTTAGCAGGTGTTTTGTTAATTTATTCTCACTGGCTGTTTACTAGCGAAGATTTTATTGCACAAACATTAACAAGTATAGGTGTTAATATCTGCATACATATGTATATATTGTACTTATAGGGTTGAAATTGTTTTATTCGTTTTTTCTTTTATTTTATTATTACAATCATCCTTTTTCTATCAAACTGTCTTATTTACCCAGTCATCTTTCCCCACCATTAACAAACCAGGAGTTGAAATCAAATCAAATTTGTTTATATAGCACTTTAAAACAACATCCAGTTGACCAAAGTACTTTACATGGGAAAATAAAATCACAATAAATGACTAGAATAAAGTAAATAAGATCAGTGCAAATAAAAATGAAACAGCACAACAACACAGCCACACATAACATACATTCAGTAAATTAAAATTAAATTAAAAGAAGTTAAAAGGAATGCATCTGTATTAAAAGCCAAGCCAAATAAATAAGTTTTAAGTAATGATTTAAAAGTACTGAGGTCAGTAGCTGATCTAACATTAAAAGGTAGACTATTCCATAATTTAGGGGCTGCAACAGTAAAAGCACAGTCACCCCAGGGTTTATATCTGACCCTAGGGACCTCTAAAAGCAATTGGCTTGAAGATCTGAGGGACCTTTTAAGTTTTGTGCCAGTGCACTAGTTCAGTGAGGTAAAATGGTGCCAAACCATTAAGAGCCTTAAAAACAAAAATCAATAACTTAAAATCAATTCTAAAACAGACTGGAAGCCAGTGAAGAGAAGCCAGTACCAGGGTTATATGCTAAAATTTCCTAGTATTTGTCAAAAGATGAGCAGCAGCATTTTGCACCATTTGGAGATGAGTGAGGGAGGACTGGTTAAAACCATAGTATAGAGCATTGCAATAATCAAGTATAGAAGTGATAAAAGCATGAATTGCAACTTCAAAATCATTAAAAGAAAGGAATGACTTGACCTTGCTTAGCGGCCTCAGGTGGAAGAAGCTAGATTTCACAACTGAGTTGATCTGCTTGTCAAACCTCAAGTCACCATCAAACATCACCCCTAGATTTTTTACAGTCGACTTCAGGTGTCGAGCTAGGAGTGCATGCCCCAGCTGAGGAGCTGGGGCATGCAATCTGGGGTCACTCTGGGGTGCACAGCATGGGGAAGGAAAGCCAGGTCACTGTTTCATTCCCTTAACTACATATAGCATCACTGGACTGGACTGCTGACACCCTCTTAGACAAGCTCCCTCCTCAAGGTCTGTGAGCTGTTTAGGAGGGGAACACACCATACATTGGGTTAGATCTCTCCTGTCAAGGTCAGGGGTCGACTCCGAGCTGTTTGTCCCAACAATCAACTGTTAAAATCAGGATCATCCTGTCTCAAAGTGAGGCTGAAAAACTGGTCCATGCCTTTGTTACTTCCAGGCTGGATTACTGTAACTCTTTACTATCAGGATGTCCCAATAATTCCATAAAAAGCCTTAATCTAAAATGCTTCAGCCAGAGTACTGACAGGAACTAGCAAGAGATCATATCTCTTATATTAGCTTCTCTCCACTGGCTCCCTGTAAAATCCAGAATAAAATTTAAAATCCTTCTCCTAACATAAAAAGCCCTTAATGACAAGTCTCCATTAAAGACCTCATAGAGCCTTATCATCCCACCAGAGCATCTTGCTCTCAGAGTGCAGGTCTACTTGTGGTTCCTAGAGTCCACAGAAGCAGAATGGGAGGCAGAGCCTTTCGCTATCAAGCTCATCTCCTGTGGATCCAACTCCCAGTCTCAGTTCGGGAGGCGGACACCCTCTCTACCTTTAAGATTAGACTTAAGACTTTCCTTTTTGATAAAGCTTATAGTTAGGGCTGGATCAGGTGACCCTGAGCCTTCCCTTAGTTATGCTGTTAGAGGGCCCCACGATGCTCTGAGTTTGAGTCTGTGTGTACAGTGCCTTGCGAAAGTATTCGGCCCCCTTGAACTTTGCGACCTTTTGCCACATTTCAGGCTTCAAACATAAAGATATAAAACTGTAATTTTTTGCGAAGAATCAACAACAAGTGGGACACAATCATGAAGTGGAACGAAATTTATTGGATATGTCAAACTTTTTTAACAAATAAAAAACTGAAAAATTGGGCGTGCAAAATTATTCAACCCCCTTAAGTTAATACGTTGTAGCGCCACCTTTTGCTGCGATTACAGCTGTAAATCGCTTGGGGTATGTCTCTATCAGTTTTGCACATCGAGAGACTGAAATTTTTGCCCATGCCTCCTTGCAAAACAGCTCGAGCTCAGTGAGGTTGGATGGAGAGCATTTGTGAACAGCAGTTTTCAGTTCTTTCCACAGATTCTCGATTGGATTCAGGTCTGGACTTTGACTTGGCCATTCTAACACCTGGATATGTTTATTTGTGAACCATTCCATTGTAGATTTTGCTTTATGTTTTGGATCATTGTCTTGTTGGAAGACAAATCTCCGTCCCAGTCTCAGGTCTTTTGCAGACTCCATCAGGTTTCCTTCCAGAATGGTCCTGTATTTGGCTCCATCCATCTTCCCATCAATTTGAACCATCTTCCCTGTCCCTGCTGAAGAAAAGCAGCCCCAAACCATGATGCTGCCACCACCATGTTTGACAGTGGGGATGGTGTGTTCAGGGTGATGAGCTGTGTTGCTTTTACGCCAAACATAACGTTTTGCATTGTTGCCAAAAAGTTCGATTTTGGTTTCATCTGACCAGAGCACCTTCTTCCACATGTTTGGTGTGTCTCCCAGGTGGCTTGTGGCAAACTTTAAACGACACTTTTTATGGATATCTTTAAGAAATGGCTTTCTTCTTGCCACTCTTCCATAAAGGCCAGATTTGTGCAGTATACGACTGACTGTTGTCCTATGGACAGAGTCTCCCACCTCAGCTGTAGATCTCTGCAGTTCATCCAGAGTGATCATGGGCCTCTTGGCTGCATCTCTGATCAGTCTTCTCCTTGTATGAGCTGAAAGTTTAGAGGGACGGCCAGGTCTTGGTAGATTTGCAGTGGTCTGATACTCCTTCCATTTCAATATTATCACTTGCACAGTGCTCCTTGGGATGTTTAAAGCTTGGAAAATCTTTTTGTATCCAAATCCAGCTTTAAACTTCTCCACAACAGTATCTCAGACCTGCCGGGGCTGAATAATTTTGCACGGCCAATTTTTCAGTTTTTTATTTGTTAAAAACGTTTGAAATATCCAATAAATTTCGTTCCACTTCATGATTGTGTCCCACTTGTTGTTGATTCTTCACAAAAAATTACAGTTTTATATCTTTATGTTTGAAGCCTGAAATGTGGCAAAAGGTCGCAAAGTTCAAGGGGGCCAAATACTTTCGCAAGGCACTGTACACTGTGCAGCACCGACACACCACAAGTCTGCGAGTGTGAACTGCAGTCATGTATGTGCTGAGGCCAGATGTCATTTAAAGCCTTTACCCACAATCACTACCAGTCAATATTAAATTCTATTGGAAAGTGTGCCCATTGACTGGCAGTGCACATCCATACTTCTGCTAATGTGAGCACTCACCCACAATCGGCCCCACATCCACTCCGTGTTTGAGCAGTTTGTCCCTCAGGCTCTCGTCAGTCAGCATGGTCACATCCAGCTCATCTGGCCGAACCTTGTCTGTTTTTCTGGTGGCTTTCTGTAGGAGTACAGGGCAATGTAATCTGCAAGTGATGCCAAACAAGAGCCAAACCACAGACAGTATAATTTCTGGGTGTAAGCTGTTAGTGCACTGGCTGTTAAGATATGTTTACATGCGAGACTCTCTTCATTTTGCCTGAACACAAACACTCAAAGGACTTTTTCTCTTATTTTAAAGCGGTCTGTAGAAAACTTTGTGTCCATCTGTACAACAATTTTTCTCTGGGATGCTGGAAAGGTATAATGGTAGGATGAATCTTTTTTCAAGTACTGAGAGGAAGAGTAAAAAAAAAAAAAAGCAGCAACACAATGTCTGCTTAATACACAGCTGTGTCCCCCACCCTGCCCACCTGTTCCACCTCCAGATATCCTCATGTGAACTTGTGCCTCAAAGAAAAGCTGCATCTGTCGTGCTTTCAGGCAGGTACAGAAACTCGTTTGCCAGGTTGCTGATTACACATGACGTTGCTTTCAATGACCTTAGGTGAATAACTGCTTTAAAAAATGTAAACATATGCAAGTGGGTTTAACCGTTTTAGAAAACTCCACAACTGCTTTATTTCATCCGATCTATAAGACGATTTGTGGAGGCACTTGTAAAATGTGTACTCAGGCACACAAACATGTAATTTGGAAAAGCAGACTTAACATAAGGAGTTTCCGTCTAGCTGCCCAAACTGAGCAGAAAACGGGGGGCTCTCTTTGCAGAAGCTACAGATGCTCGGTGCACAGGTAGGTCCTTGGAAAAATACTGGTCACAGGTACCAGCAGTCCCCCACGTAATAAGAAATCATTTGCAAGGTACTGCCAATCTCTGGGGTGTAACGGAATTGTTATGCGACGAGTAGTGTGATGAGTTACTTTTGACACACAGTAATAGGTAATGTTAATTTTTATGAGTAATATACGAGTAATGAGTAATGTATTACATTTGGGAGAGGAGCCCAACACTAGTGACCATCACCCTCTACTGTAAGTTAGGTTTTAGCTCAATGCATGATGTGAGGACATCATTCTGTAACACCACTGAATAATTTGAGTGAACTGAGCGTTTATGTAGTTCCAACAACTCCCAACACAGTGAAACATCTTGACTGGTAAAACCATCACCTGATTGCACATCAGTGATGGGAATGTAGGATATTCTGTGGGACGGGGTACATGCAAATGGTTTTGGAGATCCATCGTCTGTCATCTATTACATTAAATATTACACAAGAACAAATTCCGTGCTTTAACTGGCATTTTGTTTGTTTGCCCAGATGGGCAAAGGGATACTTTTAGCTGGCTCCACAAAGAATACATGAATTAGAGTACAACTTTGTTGATGAGTAAGCCTTGCGAATAATACAGATAAAGTTAAAATTGCAAGCATGTACAGATGGTGACATAACAACAATGAAAGCCATACTACAAACTGCAGCTATGAGTTTTACTGCCATTTTGGATGGAGCACAGCTGTTCCCAGTGGGCTGAGGTGGAGCCACACCTTTCAGATAAAACCACCACACAATAGCTACTTGTAATTCTTTGCCTGTCCAAAAAAAAAAGCACTTTCCAAAGTGAGCATGTGCTTTAAACGAAAGTCTGGGCCTAAAGAGACTCTGCTGCTCACTCGGCAAGCAACACATCAACAGAAAATGAGAGGAATGCAAACATGATACGCTCAACCTCCACGGTGAGGTGGTGCCATGGTTCACAAAATGTAATAATCTAAGAGACACAAACAGAGAGGTTGTTATACTGTCTAGCTCTCCGCGGGCCCTCTGCAGGGTTTGACCTAGATGTGAGCCAGGCCGTTTCATAATCACAGCAGCACGGGTTGGAGAAGGCAGGAGAAGAGGAGGAAGGATAAAGGCGTCTGTACTCCTTACTCAGCTGACCACACCCTGGCTTTTCAAGGCGTAACCAAACTCTGGGCTCACAGCTCAGCCCACTTTACTCTGTGGACTCCTCACTCATGACTGGATGGAGCTGTCTGAGGGTGAGACATGCCAGGACCTGCGGCTGCATTATGTAAGTCACTAGTCGGTTGAGTAACAGTGGAGTATGTGTGGTTAGCCATAATTTACTCTGCCAAGATTAACCTCAAACATTTGTATTAGTGGTGTCACACAAATTATGTACTTTAGGTTTATTGACACCACTTCCAACACACTTTAAAGTGTAACTATACAATAATTTAGATGTTTTAGCAGTACATAATCCAGTGTTTCTGCTGGTAACATTTCTCAGTGGCACCCTGCCACGCCCAAAAGTCTTTGCCGCTGCATCAAAATTGGAAGGAAAAAAAAAACAAACAAAACAAAAACAACCCCCAGTCATTTAATAACGTGCCTCAGTGACTCGCCTGGTAAGCCTGTAAAACAACACAATCAATCACATACGCGCGTTTTTAAACGTATTTTCATGCAACAGTTAAGACTCCATTCTATCACTTTGTCCCTGAAGGCAGCCCATCTCTCCTAGACGCCCACATTGTTTGCAAATGCAAAACTCAAATACAGATGAATGGAAGTGAGGTGTGCTGCTGCTTTGTCCCTCTCCACCAACTATTCCAAGCTTAAGAGCACAATGCATGAACAGTTTTATATATCCTTATCTTGAACTGCAATACTCACAAATCTACCCGTAAAAGATGTCAACATCAATTGTATGTTTCTTAGTTGGATCATAATGGCACTTACCCATCGTTTCCTCACTCCTCAGTTGCATTTTTTAAAATACTGTATGCTGGAGGAGCAGAATGTGGGTGTGCAAAAAACAAAAGTGTTCCAACCCATCTTAGTGTCAAATCTACAACTATTTAAAATTTGCTATGACGGCTATGTTATTGTGAATTTGACTGTCACTATGTTTCTTGACCCTTACTACAGTAATTTTATAAACTGAAAATCAGACAGAGAAGGGAAAACACACAAGCTGCTGTTCATAGTTGAGCCTCATGTTTGCGTATGGTCAAGTTCTGGTGCATGTGTAACCGGTCCCTATGTTATAGCATATAATTACACAAAGTTGTTTATCCCCTCCTTGAATCGCCACCTTATTGTGGTGGAGGGGCTTGAGTACCCGAATGATCCTAGGAGCACCAGGACACCCTAGGCCGGAGGTCGATGATCAACTTTGTGGTTGTTTCATCTGACCTCCGGCCATATGTCTTGGATACTCGGGTGAAGAGAGGGGCGGAGCTGTCAACTGATCACCACCTGGTGGTGAGCTGGGTCCGATGGCGGGGGAGGAAGCTGGACAGGCTTGGCAGACCCAAACGTATTGTGAAGGTCTGTTGGGAACGTTTAGCAGAATCCCCCGTCAGAGAGATCTTCAACTCCCACCTCTGGCAGAGCTTTGACCAGATCCCTGGGGAGGTTGGAGACACTGAGTCCGAGTGGACCATGTTCTCCGCCTCCATTGTCGATGCGGCCGTTCGGAGCTGTGGGCGTAAGGTCTCCAGTGCCTGTTGCGGCGGCAATCCCCGAACCCGGTGGTGGACACCGAAAGTAAGGGATGCCGTCAAGCTGAAGAAGGAGTCGTTCGAGCCTGGTTGGCTAGAGGGACACCTGAGGCAGCTGACGTGTACCGGCAGGCCAAGCGGACTGAAACCCGGGTGGTTGCGTAGGCAAAAACTCAGGTCTGCGAAGAGTTCCGTGAGGCCATGGAGAGGGATTATCGGTTGGCCTCGAAAAAATTCTGGAAAACCGTCCGGCGCCTCAGGAGGGGGAAGCAGTGCCCTGCCAAAACTGTTTACAGTGGAGGTGTCTTCCGATGAGGAAGCAGAGGCCGAGTGCTCGGGGGTGGACTCATCCATCACCCAAGCTGAAGTCCCCGAGGTAGTTAAGAAGCTTCTCGGTGGCAAAGCACCAGGGGTGGATGAGATCCGCCCTGAGTACCTTAAGGCTCTGGACATTGAGGGGCTGTCTTGGCTGACATGCCTCTAGAAATAGAAATTATCGAAATAATATGGCACCTCTATTCCTATATGCCTGGACTGTCTGCCTATGCATATATGGCAAATAAAAATCGTGAATCTTGAATTTCAAATCATGAATTATATTTTGGATTTTGTTAAAAGGTTTAATAAACATCT